TATATACACACGGACTCGGGGGGCCGGGGCGCGCCGCCGCCTCCGCCACCTCCGCTGTCGTCCTCCTCTGCCCTCGGTTTTTACTCGGCCCGTGGTGTTCATCAAATAGTTCGCTGGATTTTGTCGATACATCAATGGATGCTATTTTCTTAACATTACGGTGCGAGCATGCGACTGTAACACAGAAAACGCTGTTTCAACTGTCGTCGGAGATCGCGGCCGCCGCCATGTTTCAATGTTGACAGACGACAGGGCAAACGACGCGTGCGCTCAACGTGAATATCGCGAGAGTTTGCACCGATATAAACCCTCTACACAAAAATGTAGAGGGTTGTTTGAAAAAAATGCCAACCGTAAAGTTTTTTTCGACGTAGAAATTCTTGGTCGGGTTACCAGAAACTACTTTTTTTTCTACGCCTAATGACCGAGCAGGCTGATTCAAAAGGGGGCGTTTACCTGTTTACCCAGCAATGGCCGACGTAGGCCAGTAAAATCCAATTAAAATTGCTCCTGCTGGTAACTGCAGCCTCGAACAGGACATGAGAAGCGAAAATCGAAGGATGGGTTAAACAAGCTAGAATATTTTGTTTTATCTGTGTCAGAGATTTTCTTGGACAAAGTTAAAGAAATGACTCGGCACACAGGAAAATTGTCTTCATTATCGGCGGGAGCGGATCTCTGAGAGCGAACGACGGTAGTTGCTCCGATGATCACACACTCGAGCTCATTTCCCGCCAATTCAGACTTTTATTGTAACATACAAGGAAAACACTGCCCCCAACATTTGCATACCGCAACCCCGGTCCGGCCCCTCGGTAGTGATTGGTTGTTACCTGATTTTAAGCTTTGATCCACCGGTACATTGGCGCCTTTCTGTCTGGTCTACACTGTATCAACATGTTGCAGACTTCGCGGACGACAAATGTCGCCTGGGTGCGACGGGTGTTCTCAACTCGTCTTTTGTTGTTCAACCGCTGTTCCCAAATTATTCATTCCCCTTTTGTGACCGAGTTTCGCCCTCTCCCGTGATTGCCCACCTGCATTGACGTGCTAATTGTGGACTTCAACAGCCCTCCGGCCTTTGTGCACAGGCATTTGGGGGTGCTGGATACGCACCCAAACGTTTAGATGTGCCCAAATTAAATGAAACTTTAAACATGATACAATTTTGCTCATAGATTCCTCTAACAATCTGCGAGCCAGATTCAATCATCAAAAGAGTCACACCTGGCTTGCGAGTCATAGGTTCCAACCCCTGCCTTAAGGCCACATCTTTGATACCCCTGCTTGAGACTGAAGGTAAACCACATTTTGAGTAAAATCTGTGATCTCATGGTTAGTACGTCTGCCTGACAGTTCTGCAATTTGGTGTCCAATGCTCAGTTGCAGTTTTCCTTTTTTGGAGTTTGCATAATTGAGATAAACCAGGAATGCCCAACCAGTCAATCGCGGTTGACCAGCAGTCCGCAGACTGGCCCCAAGTCGACCGCGAGGATTGTAGGGGTAATGGAAAAAAAAAAAAAAATGTGTGTGTGTGTGTGTGTGTGTGTGTGTGTGTGTGTGTGTGTCTGTGTTATTCTATATTTTTGCGTTAGTGTACAGTGTATCTTATCATTTTCACAAAAAAGTATTTAAAAAAAAGCTGGTCACCTTTAACTTACAGTGGCGCATGACCTGCTTTACGGGGAGTTGTTAGCAGTCAGCAGTCTGCAATTGCACTTTGCGGTCAGGGCTGTTGCAGTATAGCTGTTTTTTTTTTTAATTTTATTTGTTTTAATTCTCATTCAAAGGTTGCTTGATTGGCGATTCATTGTATAAGAATGGGAATCTAGAGAGCCAGAAGAAGCATATTAAAATGGTAGTTAGCCACAGAACGATAGTGATGTTTGTGCACTTAATATGCTGTCAAAATGCCTCCCTCCGGCAGGTCTCCCACTAAAGTAGGCAGTGATTCCTTTTCACAAACTCACAAACTTTTCTATCTGCTTTAATTTTCTGTTTCGTTCAGATTAGGGTCCGTTATGGCTGTTGCTTGTCATTGCATGCGTGTGTTCGTATGCACGTGTGTGCATGGATGTGCGGACTCCTGATATAGACAATCAATTTGTGCTATGATGTCATTATAAAACTAACTGCACAGGTAGTATTTCAACATTTGCAATGGGTAGTGATAGGTACCTTTCCCATTTGAACAAGTTAGTTTATGATTCTCTGTACCAGGGAATCGATGCAACACTGCCTTCTGAGAAAGTTGAAGAGGCTTGTGTCGGTGGTGTAGAAGGCAACTCTCACTTGACTCTTGCTGGAGGCGCTGACGGTGTAGCTGAGGTTTTTAAATTGGAGAAAACCATGGCGATGGGTAGCACTATCACATTCATCTTGTCTTCTTATTAGTTGAAATAGGTTAATTGTACTACAATTACCGCTACTGGTCACTTAAAAAAATGCAACAATTTTCAGCACCAACTGTACAACTGTCATAGTATTGTATTGTACCACTAATCACTTTATCTCTGCTCAATGACTCTGCACATTGTCGCACAACTGTCATTGGGTGGTACTATTGCACAATGGTACCCTTACCTTCCAGAAAGTCTTTTGATACTTCCATGGCATGTCTTTGTTCATCATAGTTACTTGTTATTGCAATGCCAGTATAGCCTGTACTACCAGAGACAAATGCCTTGTGTTCTACATACTTGGCAAATAAAGATGATTCATATTGTTCTGATAAATCTCTAAAATTGAAGAAATTAGATCAAAACAAAAAAAAAATGCATTTAGAAAATCGTGGGTATTTTAATGGTGAAAAACGTTGAATTTTTGGTAAGTGGCGATTTTGGGCTTGTTGCAAATCTCTCTCTCTCTCTCTCTCTCTCTCTCTCTCTCTCCCTCTCTCCCTCTCTCCCCAACAACTAAGTAGCCTTAAGAAACTTAATTTGTACATAGATTAGAATTCCCGTCATGGTTTGCATAAACCCGAATTATTAGACACATTAGAAGAATTATTGTCATCAACTCGCATCTTTAAAAAGATTAATGTATAAATGAATGTCATTTACTATTAATAATAACTTATGCTGTCAGGAATTCATGTTTTTAGATTCGAGATCTATTGATTCCATTGATTACTCAGGTAAGTGCTCTGCCTCCATTTAATTTTAGAGGGAGACATTTCTGTCGACCAGTTTTTGTCGTTGACTTGGCCGAATAGGACAATTCTTTTTTTCCCCACCATTTAACATAATATTAACATGTGATTGAGCGTGATTTCAGCAAATTTGTTATTTCAGAAGTGTGTATCCAAATGGTCACTCTTCACATTATTTGTTTTCCGAAATTTTTCAATAATAAAGTGTCTCTGTTAAGATGTGTGTGTTTACAAAAATTTGCACTTGAATGCAATTGTCTCAGTGATGGAACAAAAATAAACTATTTTTTTTATTTAAAAAAAAAAATCAGTTTTTCTCTTGAATAGTTGTATTGTATATTATTGTGGATTGATTGCCTGACCAATGTATCGATAATCACTATATTGCCATCTTGTGAGATAATCGTTATTGTGAGCCTTGTATCTATTGCATATCGTATCGTATTATGGAGTACCAAGAGGTTACCACCCATAGGCCAGATGAATGTAATTATTATTACTTAAATCTGTTTCTCTCCACAGTGAAGTACATTCGTGAGGTTTCTCCACTATTCAAGAAGATTTCCTTGGTGGCTGACTTGCCATGGAATGGTGTTGGGCCACTTTCTCCCAGCTACAACGGGAGTGAGGATTCTGGATCTCCTAGACGCAGCTCCTCCAAAGACAGGAAGGTTATGAGCTTGAAGATGTGCTTCATCAGTCGGAACCTAACCATGCCAGACTTGGAGAACAGGTCTGACTTTAACATTAACATTGTATTTTGCTGCTGTGATGGCATAAAAATGTGTACCTAACTGAAATTGTAACTCTCAATATCCGTATATTTTCACTATCCATCCATTTTCTGAACCGCTTCTCCTCATGAGGGTCGCAGGCGTGCTGGAGCCTTTCCCAGCTGACTTTGGGCAGTAGGCAGGGTACACACTGAGCTGCTTGCCAGCCAATTGCATTGACGTAGACAAACGAAAACCATTCTCACTCACAGTCACACTGAGGGACAATTGAATGTTCAATTAACCTATCATGCATGTTTTTGGAATGAGGGTGGAAACCGGAGTACCCGGAGAAAACTCAACCAGGCACGAGGAGAACAAACTCCACACAGGAAGGCCGCGGCCGGATTCGAAACCACAACCTTTGCACTGTGAAGCGGACATGCTAACCAGTCGACCACCATGCCACTCTATATTCTTACAATTATAAGCAAATATGATCAACAGTCTCGTTGCCATTTTTATCTCATCCACCACGTTTTTTTTTTTTTGTGTGTGTGTGTGTGTGTGTGTGTGTGTGTGTGTGTATGTGTGTTTACGTCTGAGATAAAATTTGCTATAATGAAAAGTCCCCTGTTGTGAAAAATTTCTGGCTGCAAACATGATTTCATTGTAGAGGAGTTCTACTGTAGCTTGTTCTGTTCCACTTTGTTTACTCTCCAATAATCAAGATAACTAACTCATACTAATATCAATATTTTTTTTTTTTACATTTTCGAATCAGTAAAGTTAAATTGGTTTTAAAATAAAATCCAATGAAAAATATTATTTATATAGTCATCTTTAATTTTTTTTGTTACAGAAAATCCATTGTCATAATACTGTATCGAAATATCTCATTGAAAACTCCTTTATCGTATCAAATTGTATATTTTTTAAAAAACTATCGTTTTGTGTCGAATTGTTAGGCCTTATTGCAACACTTATTAAGCTTATTATTACAGCAGAGAAGAAATTCATGAATGGTTTGAATTTTATAGTAAGTTGTACAACTAGGTACATGATCGTAATGAATAACAAATTGATGAATTTATGAACGGCTTAAATTTGCCTTAAATTGGAGAACAGAAAATCTTGTGTCAGAAATAATAGCAGGGGAAATAAATTCTAAATTTACACATAATAAAAGTCAAGGAGCCATTTTGGGGTCTTGATAGAGTCAAATCTTCAGCAAGCCACGAAATATTACCGTAATGACCATATACAAGGTGCACCTGATTTTAAGGCGCGCTGTCAGCTTTTAAGAAAATGGAAGGCTTTTAGGTGCGCCTTTTAGTGCGGAAAATACGGTATAGTGAAAACAAATGACATTAGAAATATTAAATTTTACACTATATTTCTATGCTTACATAGATTACCTATTTCACGGATGAGGTTTTTCCGCTTTTTGGCGCAATTCCGCTTTTTTCCAGTCAAAATGGACCTTTTTTTATATTGTTCCAAATCCGTTGAGAAAATTTAAGGGGTGTGGCGGGGGGGGGTGGTCTGGTGTTATTTCTGGGCTGCCGGACTTACTTGTCTTCGGCAGACTCGGGACTCGTAATGTTTACAAATAAAGTTTGCAAGCATCCATTTTGAATACCGTTTTTTTCTCACGAAGCGTTAGTTTGTCGTTACGTCATATATGGGCTAAAACCATGTCTTACTTGTTGTGATTGGTCGCTATATTGGCAAATGCAGAATCACAACCAATCCGTGTTCGCCTTCCTAAACCCTTTTCCCGTGAATTCTGAATGGTTTTGCAGTGTATTGAAATTACTCGTGTATGTAGTCTGTATTAAACAAACGCCGAATGTTTTCGAGACTCGTGACGAAGCTAACGTGCGTCAGATACTGTAGATGCGGATCTGAGAAACAAGTTTCGATGGGACTGGTTGGATAGAAAGCTGACGGTGTCCCCAATAGGAACCAGTAAAGAGGAACCATTGTCTGTGCTTGTGTCGGATTTCATGAAAAAGCTCTGTGTACAGTGTGTGACGATGTCATTCAATACGGAATGCATTCATAACCCATATATAGTAAACAGTTTAGGACATCACTATCACTGTACGAGGTAAGAATCAACAGCTTTTAATCACATTTACACAACATTTTACGAATACAAGTAGTGAACAAATCTTAAATATGGCAGGGAACGTGTTTCCTTTTTTAGTTTTGATTTTGAGCAGCAAATTTGAAGTTACATCTTGGTGCTCACCAGGAATGCACAAGCAAAATTGCACAAAGGCCGATGTCAAATTTTCACTTGAAAGAATAGTCAACAATCTTGGGATGTTTTTCTGTGAAAGTTTCAAGTTCAAGTGTATAATGTACACACTTATACACTTCATCTTTAGCATGTTTAGTATAAAGTGCCAATTTTGTAAGCAAATGGGGAATGGTACTTCAACAGAAATTGTAACATTTTGTTGATAAAACAATGGTTTTAAGGCTTTAAAATCTCTAAAACCCATGAGCTTCGGGGCTTTGCCACCTGGGCTTCCATCCGGGGCGTTGTCCCTTGACCCCACTGGGACACTGCGGCCCCCCAGCTGATTTTGAGATTTTTTCATCACTAGCCACTCTCATCCCTGCTATTTTAATATACATGTACAGTAGGGTGGTCCATTTTGGAAAAGTTTGTCGGATTCGTCGGGCCGGGTCGGAAATCTTGTCGATACTATGACACAAGGATGTGTGCAAAAGTTTATTCCGATCTGATAATTTGATCCCGTCCCGCAGA